GGGAAAGGTGCCCAGAAGGTTATTCATGTAAAGGACTCTGGTAAAGGTGCCCAGTAGGTTCTTTATGTAAAGGACTCTGGTAAAGGTGCTCAGTAGGTTCTTCATGTAAAGGACTCTGGGAAATTATAGGTTGTAACAATGCCCTTTTTGAAGTGTTGTCATCCTGAACCAAAGCCTCTTGTTGGTCTTTTTCTGCACTTGGCATCTCCATGTTTGATTCCTTATCTCCTCCAGTAGGTTCTTCATGTAAAGGACTCTGGTAAAGGTGCTCAATAGGTTCTTCATGTAAAGGACTCTGGGAAATTATAGGTTGTAACAATGCCCTTTTTGAAGTGTTGTCATCCTGAACCAAAGCCTCTTGTTGGTCTTTTTCTGCACTTGGCATCTCCATGTTTGATTCCTTATCTCCTTCAGGTGTCCCATCACTTTTGTCTGAGCCAGACTCCCAAGATACCTCAGGGCTCTCTGGTTCCTTCTGTCCCAGCAATGTCAGAAATAGGTTCAGTGGCTTCTTCGTTTGCACTTCTTCTTCCTCGTCAACGCCATCCCAATCATCTTCATCATCATCTGCAGTAGTTAAAGCCTTTGATTTTGGTGATGCTGAAGGAGCATCCAGATTGCTGGTGTCAAGATCAGCTATTCCTTCATTTTGTCTAAGTGGAATAACATCAGTTTCATCTTGAAGTTGTGGATCACATTCAATGGTTGTCCCTTGAGAGGGCTCCACTTCTAAAATGTTCTTCTCAGCCTTCAACAGCTCCTCATCTTCATCATCATCTTCATCATCATCCCAATCATCATCATCACTTTGGTTTTCATTCTTGCTCTCAATTGGATTTCTGTTTGATGTTCTGCCCACACTTGGTAAAGAAGTTTCACATTCTGCAGGAGGACTTGGACTATCACTGGCCTCCTCGTTGTCCTCCTCATCAGAGAATCTCGCCTCGACTCTGACGGCTGACACAAGACAGCCATCCTCTAAATCAAGAATCCCTGGAATTGGACCTCCAAAAAGTGTCTTTTCAGGAATTGTTTCTTTCATGTCCATTTTATCTGGAGCATCTTTTTCTTGATCTGTCTTTACCTTCAAAGGACTGTCTCCTGATACTCTATCCTCCAACATGTCCTGCTTAGGTTGGTTGACATTTTCATCAGCCATATCTGACTGTTCTGTTTTACCAAGAGCCATGGTTTTGGGCAACCCAGGAAGGTCTGTTGTCTCACAAGCCACAGCAGCTTCCTCTTCTTCATCTTCCTCTTCATCATCTTCTTCACCATCTTCATTTTCATCTTCTTTATCGTCGCTGTCATCATCATCATCCTCATCTTCTCCTTCCTCTTCCTCCTCCTCCTCTTCTTCTTCTTCACCATCATCGTCGTCATCCTCACCTTCATCATCCTCACTTTCAGCATCTTCAGATTCGTCCTCTGGACTTTCGTTGCCTTCAATATCTTGTTTGCTACCAGAAGGCAGCTCTGAACCAGAATGGCAGGGTGGATTGGGTTGAATAAAAACAATAAAGAAGTGAAGAGTTAGACAATGTACCACACAGAGGCACAGTGAGGGTTACCTTAAGGGTGCTGCTGAAGGGGGTGGAGCTCATCTGGGGTGGGTGGGGTAAAGAGGCAGGTGGGGTTGCTACAGGGGGTTGGAGGGAGGTGCTGCTGAAGGGGAGTGGTCTAGACAGTGGTGGGCGGATTGCACCCTTATCCTCACTGTCCGGTTCAGACTCTGATCTGCTCCAGGATTTGTCTGCATTCCGATCTGCTATGACTGCAGACAGAGACAGCATATCACAATGCTCACTGGACCCTTTTACATTTTTTAAATTGTTGATTTAAAGGCACAATATGTAATTTTCGCCGCTAGAGGGCGCGTATTCAAAATAAACAAAGAGACAAAGGCGTAGTTTGATGACGCCGTGACTGAGTGTGGAATCATGGGAGTTGTCGTCTTCATCCCCACAGCCGATGCAATCCAACGGGACTCGGGCAGAAATCATGTTCATGGATGAGCTAATGATTTATTAACGTAGTAGTATGAAGCAGGGTGAGGCTGAAAGCCGTCGAAGTGAAATGAGGCCGCTGAACGAGCGTGATACACGACTCGAAAGCAGCGGAGCTTTTATTATGCCACAGTCGACTGCTTCCGCTCCTTCCGGTCGTGCGTATGTGAAAAAAAAAAGCAGCGCTGCTTTATCATACTAGATACATTTGAAAGTTCTGTTATAATGCTACTCTGTGCGGTCGTCACCGGTCTATTAAAACGCACAACATATTAAAGCGTCTTCTACAAAACAAAACGGAAATCGAGGGGTTATGACATCATTGGCAGGTGAGGTGACACAATGACACTATGGACACGGTCCGTGTCACTAGTTAAAATTGCTTTAACTAGTTTAAACATTCTTTGAAACATTTGGGATAATGTAAGTACACAAGTCAGCAAAATATATAACACTGTTCTAGTGGTTTTTGGATATTTTAATAAAAAAATCTTACATATTGTGCCTTTAAAATGTTAATGTACCAAGCTTAGCCAAACATTTTGAACACTTCCCCATTCAAGTGGACAACAGCAGTGTTTGCTTGCCTATTATCCTTACCAAGATGGCCACCTAATGGCCTTGCCTTAAATGGATAGTTCACCCAAAAATGAAAATTCTGTCATTAATTTACATATCATGAAAATCTGACTTTTCCTTTAAGTGCTAAAATCAGGTCCCCAGTGCATCTACCAACCAAGGAAACGTGAAAAAGATTAACCCAGGTCTGTTCATGCCACGTCAAGTCTGTTCATGCCACGTCAAGTCTGTTCATGCCACGTCAAGTCTGTTCATGCCTAGTCAAGTCTGTTCATGCCTCGTCAAGTCTGTTCATGCCACGTCAAGTCTGTTCATGCCACGTCAAGTCAAGTCCGTTCATGTCAAGTCAAGTCTGTGTCTCTAGTCTTCGTCTGTTTGGATTATGTTTGGATCACTCTGTAAATAAACTGCACTTGGGTTCTTCACTACGCTCGCCTTCAGTGGATTGATCTTTACAATCTGTAAGTTTACACCCATGGCGCCGTTATTGTGTTTTCACAAGCGACAACGGTGTACTAGTTCTAATGCCATGGCGAAAGTTTGAGCAAAACATGCTAACTGTTCTGTCTTTGGCTGGGACGGGGAGCAGCAGCTCATTTGCATTTAAAGAGACAGGCACGAAAAACAGCGTGTTTCTGGTTCCACTCAAAATAGGCATTTTCAAAATGATATAATAAATTATCTGTGGGGTATTTTGAGCTGAAACTTCACAGACACATTCTGGGGACACCAGAGACTTATATTACATATTGTAAAAAGGAGCATAATTTCATTTGTGTTCCGAAGATGAACGAAGGTCTTACGCGTTTGAAACGACATGAGGGTGAGTAATTAATGATAGAATTTTCATTTTTGGGTGAACTAACCCTTTAAAAGGGACTTTGCTACAGGGTAGGGGTTTCAAATTACAACACAACCAAAATTCTTACTGACTTCACAAAAACATTTACATTTAAAACTTACCTTCTACATTTTCCCTTTTTGAAGCGCTTATGAGTTTCTTCAAGTTTACTTTTTGTTTCTGTAAAAAAGCGTTGTACTGTATTACCTAACCCAATATTACAATATTTGTAATCAATTTTATATGTGCTATTCAGAACTGCTTAAAAATACCTTTGGGCTCAAATCTAACTCGTCGTCATCATCTGATGAAGGCCAGGAATCAGCAGCACCACTTTTTGATGCCCTGCAAATGAACACAATTTCGTGCTAGATAAAATGATAATTTGTAGCTGCTTTTATCACCCATTTGTTTTTTGACATATCAATGCCATTTCACCTGCTAATGGAGTCTGTGTGAGAATTGTCTTCTGTATCTGAGGAGAGAAATATAAAGGATTATCTGCGCTTAAGACAAGATAGAGCATAGCCAAGAAATAATCCATTGCTAATACAAACATTTTCTTGCCATATAGTTAACTAGAAATCTAAAGACCCATTCCCAATTGGGCTGAATATTAATTTGTGGTCAAACGATGCATTCCTACAGACCTATTCACACCGATAAATTATGTTTTTATCGTTTTTTTTCTCATTTGTTTGACAGAAAGACCAATGGGTTAAGACCAATAAGCATTTGGGTCAAGTATCTAAAACCTATTACACATTTTACATAGATGCTGAGAAAAAAGCAGTTTGACCGCAAACATTTTCTGTTAAAGTGGGACAATGTTTAATGTATATCACCACAACATCTGTATAGCTATTACAGTACACTTCTATTATAGCATATATTTCTATATCACAGCATTAAAGAGTAAGCGAAAATAGTCTTAAAAATACACTGAAGTACATTACATAAGTAAAACATTACTTTTACATTAACTTGAGTGAAATCTGCATTGTCTGCTGAGCTGTAGGCCCTTTTTTGCTTTAAATGGTTCAAGACTGGATTTTTTTCACCTAGTCTCATTTATTAACTTCATTCTTGGTGCGAGTAGATCTTTAATCTAGCATGTAAGCATACAACACACAAAAAAGAACAGCAAGAGACACCATGGTTTACCATTCAGCAACACTAAATGATTTCACATTACTCTTAATATTGTGTCTTAAAGGAATAGTTCACCCAAAAATAAAAATTTGCTTAAAATTTACTCCCCCTCAGGCCATCCAAGATGTAGATGAGTTTGTTTCCTCATCAGAACACATTTAGAGAAATTAATGTGGTGTTTTTATCAGCTGTTTGGACTCTCATTCTGACGGCACCCATTCACTGCAGAGGATTCATTGCTGAGCAAGTGATGTAATCTTAAATTTCTCCAGATCTGTTCTGATGAAGAACAAACTCATTTAGGCCTATATCTTGGATGGCCTGAGGATGAGTAAATTTTCAGCAAATTCTCATTTTTGGGTGAACTATTCCTTTAATCTCTGAAATGGCAAAGAATAATGTGTCTGATCTACAGCACATTGGCTGTCACACATTGGCAATACCTTTCCCTGCTCCTGCGGAGCTGCTTCCTGCTGCTACAACAGATGAGTGTGGAGTAACAGTGGGGAAACAGAACCGAATCAAAACACTGCAGTCAACACTGCACCAATACTGACACGCATACAAATGACACTGAAATCCTTCAATTATGCAAATCAAGTTAAACACAATTAGACTCACCATTTTTATCCAGAGCTGGTCCTCCCAAAGCCAAACCGGCCCCAATACCACCGGGGCTGCCGAGCACGGACGTCCGTTTCTTTTTGCTGGCAGTGAAATGGGAAGATGACTGAAGGGATCTTCTCTTCGTCCCATGCTCGATAATCAGATGTGAACATCTGGAACAGAACGATTATTGATATGAGCTCCTACAGGCAAACGCTTCAAACAAAGCTTTCTGTTTTCACAGCACACAACATCTGCAGTTCATTTCTATTAATGAAACATTGCCAATGTGAAAATATCGCTACCAGCATTTCAAATGTTCATCAAATGGTGAGTCTGAAATATAAGCAGGCAAAAGAAGAAAGTCCTTACGCGTGGTGTCCATTCATGACAGCATAATCATCAGAAGACCATCCCTTATCATCTTTCACTGTGATGTCAGCATCATACTGCAGAAGCAAACGCACCATGCTGATTTGTCCGTTGCACGCAGCTATCATCAGCGCAGACCTTAATAATGACAGACAGAATGTGAATCAATGTTGTTATCGTTAACTAAAAAATACTAGAAGACATTTATTTGAACTGAAATACATTTATTCTTAACATAATAATATTAATTTTACTTCAGTTAGTAGCGAAGACAACATTTTTCATTTCCATTTTGTTTTAAGTACTTAAATTACTAAAAGTGAAATATTAATAAAAAAATATACAAAAACCAATATAATAAACGTTCTATAAAAAATAAAGCAAAAAACAATATAACAATAATAAAATAAAAAACGACTCAAAATTGCTAAAAACTAAAACTGAAATAAAAATATATAAAAACCTAATAAAAAAAACAACAACAATACGACAATGACAACAAAATAACAAATTAATAAAAATAACTAAAATGCACAATAGATTACTCAAATGACAATAAAAAACTAAATTAAATCAAATTCAAAATATTAATAATGATTTCTTTGGCTTACAAATCACTTGTTGTTTATTTATCCATTTGTTTATCAGTCCTATTATTCCTGTTTATTTATTAAGTTTGTTGAAAAGAAAATTAATAGAGCACAATTTCATAACATTTCTCCATTATATCTTCCTAAACGCACACTAGAACAATACCTAACAATACCAAGATGACTACAGAACTTTCACTTTTGGATGAACTAATCCATTAAAGTGCGTCTTTCTAACCGTTGCTCCTGATTCTTGACATTAACATCCGCTCCCTCTTTCAGTAAAAGCTCAGTCATGTCTGCATGGTTTTCCATCACAGCCAGCATCAGTGGAGTGTTTCCATCCTGTCAATCAAACCACAACAAAACAAGATTGGACTGCATTAACTATCTTACCTTTCAATGTGCAAGACGATTGCTTTTGTATTTATAAGTGCATCCTTCTAGCTCAACCAATGGTATGAGTAAGCATTTTAGTGTACATTATGCAGTACTCACTAAGTAGAAAGTTAGTATTCCATTATTTCTGCAATTTGGCACTGCAGAAATTAAACACTTCATCTTAATGTATCAGACAGCCGCTGTGTGTGGTTAATACTGTGATAATCTGAAGTCGGACAGTATAGTTTCACCTTGTTCTGTGCGTTGATGTTGGCTGAGTGCTCCAGGAGCTGCAGCACCACAGGAAGGGAGGGGATACGGGCGGCCAGGTGCAGTGCCGCGTTTCCACTGATGTCCACCAGGTTGGGGTCAGCCTCATGTTCCAGGAGCAAAGAGACGGAGCGGTCTTGTTCACACTGAACCGCCTACCAGACATGCATAACAACAAAGACATACCAGTCAGCAAGTATTTATATGTATATGATTTCACAAGAACAAACTGAATGTACCTTCATTAAGGCGGAGCGGTTCTGATTGTCGCATAAGTTCAGCTTCACTTTGCTCTCCACTAAGAACTGAACCGCATCTGTGTGTCCGCAGGCACAAGCGATGTGCAGTGCAGTCCTGCGGGTCCAATCACAGAGGATAAATTAGAGCATTACTGAAGATACAAACAGTTTAAAACAACAGCAAATACGTTTTGTTGTTGTTTTGTTTTTTAAAGAAACCAATACTTTTATTCAGCAAGGTAAAGACATTTATAGTGTTACAAAAGATTTCTATTTCAAATAAATGCTGTTCTTTTGAACTTCCTATTCATCAAAGAATCCTGAAAAAAGTATCATGGTTTCCACAAAAATATGCAAGCAGCACAACTGTTACATTGATAATAATAAGAAATGTTTTTGAGCAGCAAATCAGCATATTATATGCATATGCATACAGCATACATACAGAATACCCAAAGGTTGCGAGTTCGAGTCTCGTACCGGCAGGGATTGTAGGTGGGGGGAGTGAATGTACAGCGCTCTCTTCCACCTTCAATACCACGACTGAGGTGCCCTTGAGCAAGGCACCGAACCCCCAACTGCTCCCCGGGCGCCGCAGCATAAATGGCTGCCCACTGCTCCGGGTGTGTGTTCACGGTGTGTGTGTGCACTTAGGATGGGTTAAATGCAGAGCACTAATTCCGAGTATGGGTAACCATACTTGGCCACATGTCACGTCACTTTCGTCACTTTTTCACTTTCATATTAGAATGATCTCTGAAGGATCGTGTGACACTGAAGACTGGAGTAATGACGCTGAAAATTCAGCTTTGATCACAGGAATAAATTACATTTTTAAATATATTAAAATAGAAAACAGATATTTTAAATTGTAATAACATTTCATAATATTACTGTTTTTGGTTGGTGAGCAGAAGAGACTTCTTTCAAAAACATTAAAAAATATTACAGACCCCAAACTTTTAAACAGTAGTGTATGAATGTTTCTTCTGAAAGAACACGGTGAAATAAGTCTTGGGATTTAAGCTGCTAGGACTGCAAAAATGATTATGCATCAACAAATGCTACCATTAAATGATTCTTCATGCATCATAATGTGAACAAGAAATCAAAATGGACCCTATTTACTCTATTAATAAACATTTGAGTATTTTTAGGTTATTCCAAATAAACATGTTGTTAACCAAACACCTATTTAGGCATTGATTTAGCAAACTGGTGTTAGGTCTAGCTGCATTTTAGTATAAAACACCCATTTTTTTACAATCCCATCAATTCTCAAATGTTCATGTTGAACATGGAAATAGTTACTTTATAGATGTATTAATTCCAGCTTGATGAACATTTTGATTTTGTAAAGAAAAAATATTTTAATGAAAAATAACTTTTACTTAAAACTGCTAAAAAAAACAAAAAAAGGTTATTCTTCTGTAGTGGAGCCAATTAAAAATCTAAAACAGACCAAATCCATATTGTATATGCACACTTTTGTTTTGCAAACTTAAAAAAAATAAAAATAATAATAATTTTAATGAACATTACGTTAAATTTCATGAAAAATACAAATATTTCTAACAAATATATAAAAGGAATTTGCTAAAAAATAAATATAGCTCATTCTATTGTAGTTGGGAAAATGAAAATGTTAGCAGGGGAAGGTGAAAAAGCAATACAACTACTGGCCAAATCCCTATTGCTGAGCCCTGAAGGAGAAGTCTGATGGTGACAACTGGGGCCGCATTACTGAAACTTTCTATCTTAAGTCTAAAGTTAAGATCTAACAAGGTTCAATCTGGCAAATGGCAAGTTCAATCTTCCATGTGAAAATCGCTGTCGGTGGTAAGATTCCGTATTTTCATTTTGCTTGGTCCACTACAAACAAAACAGTTGCAGTTCATCAACAGTTACCTGTTTTCCTTATCCAGCTGGTTTAAATCATTCTTTTTGGCCAGCTGTCTGAGTTTGACCACATCTCCGCTGAACGCAGCCTTGTGGACCTTCCCGAGGTCTTTCTCCTTCACATCATAGCTGGCCGACAGCACGCTCCCTGTCTCGGAGGGGCTGGGGGAGCCCTTCTTCTTCTTGAAGTTGAATATTTTCTTCATGCTCTGTGACGGCACATCTCCATCAGCGGATTGTCGTTTACCTGAGCTTCAGGTTTGGATCACCTTGCATGTCTCGTCCATCCTCTAAAAATAAATCCTGCAAAGAGGATTAGAGTTATTTTAATAATGACAGAAGCACAGGTCAGTCTGTCGTGTGCACGTTTAGTTTGCTGTCCTTATAAAACTTATGTTTGATCATGATTTATTCCAATAGACTGCACACAGTTTATTACAAACCCCATATAAAAAGATACTGGGGTGAAAAACCATGGTACGGTGGCAGTATCAGATGGTAATATCATGGTATTTTATTCAAATAGCATGGTGTTTACAAGGTACTCCAAGATACTTTAAAAACACCATGGCATTGTTTAAAAACCATGGTAAATCATTGGTTTTTATATTGAATAAGCTATAAACCAGTTAACTATACAATATATTGTATTATAATCAAATGCGACAGACAAAGCACATATAAACACAGTTGTTTAAAGAAAAAATTAATATATTTATATTGTTTAGAAAAGTTTATAATCTCAGTGATCAGATCACCTCATCGTGTTAATCTGCTAAATTAACAATGATAGTCAACCAATCCACCTGGCGAGTTTACAAACTCACCTACATTGTCGTTTCAGTATGGGGCGTCTATTAGTTGTATTTTAAACGAAAAATAAAACACGAAAAGATTACAAATGATGCTCGTTATCGAGTAAGACACATCGGGTCTGCTCAAGCAAGGAGCCGTTTACGACGCTAGCAAGCTAGCTGCTTCTGTTACCATGGTAACAGTGTGACGCTCGTATTTAATCCCAATAATTCATTCTCATTTTTTTGTACTACATACAAAACGGTTGGGAACTTTCGAGAACTCTTATAAATACATTTTAAACTGTCAAGCTGATCTAGTTTTATTTTTAATAAAAATGAACGAGCCTAATATCAAAGCACGGACCTCGTTACGTTTTGCTCCGTTTTCACACGGAATGTCGAACACGCCAACGTCACGATGGAGGCGGGGACTTCACCGCTCTCTTCCTGCATTGGACGGTTTGAATCAATGACAGGCATGCGTATCATCCAATGAGAGCACAGCTCGAAATGTTCTTGATTGTGATTGGCCAAATTCGCGTTGACAGACAGCAGTATTGTCTAATTGCATACACTGATTATATGGTCCCTCCCAGAATCGGCGGTTCGTAGCTCATTATTCGTCAGAGCAGAATTTTAAACTATTTAAACCGTTTTGAGCGGGTGGCAGAGCACCAAGAGACAGTGAGTGGAGCCGAGGAAGACATAAAGTAGTTTGTAATGTCAAATTAGCATCTAATGTTTATTTACAAAATAGAAGCCAGGATTATAACTTTGGATCATCAAGTCTTTGTTTTTGCAGTGCTATCGTGCATACAAGCTAAAGAGGTAGATGCCGTTTTAAAATGTACTATGCTGCTGATTAGATTAGCTAGGTTGGCTAAGGATTCGTAATAAGGTCAGAAATAAACTCACATGTTTTAGTTATTCGCATGTTATTTTGTGTAACTGTTAAGTGTAATATTCTTATGTCATAAATGTAACAAACGAAATGTAATATCTATTGGTTTATCTTACTCAAGCATGTTCATCTGCAACTGTGTTTGGACTGAGATCGGAATAAAGATTTAATGTATAAAAGCCAAATTAGATTAAATGTGTTTATACGTGACTGAAGAAAACCGTGAGAAAAAATGCGCTTGAAAGTTTGTCAGTCATAAATGGTTAGTACGCAGTAATCTAACGTTACCTGCATAAAGTCGGTGAAATGATTTCTATTGTCTTGAAAAACGCCGTCTAAATTCTCGATTTCTTTGTTGTAAGATGACCGATGTAAAATAAAGCGATTTCCAATGCTAGATCTGGATGCCAGTGAAATGCATGTAAATATAAACGAGTATGGGCCTTTTGCTCTTTGTGGTCAAGTTTACCACGAAAAAGCAAATGCATGATTTTACATTTTCTCTGAAACCGTAAGTTAGCATAACTGTTATGTGTATCTAAACGAGTGTGTTTTCAAAATGACAGCTTGAGAATAGTGCCCAGTGGAGTCATAAAGTAAAGTTAGTTTGTGAGCATTTGCATGCAAATTGATTTTATCCCCCAAAATGCCACTGTTTTACACTTCACAGATTGGCTTTATTCGTCAGTATTGCAAAACCAAGACCTTTCATTGTGTATTTCCAGGGACGCCACCATGAGTTCCTTGCCGGAGACCACGCGCTCCCTCATGGAGGTTTTTAATGGGAAACTGCAGGATTTTACAGATGAAATTGCCAATGTCCACATGGTGTGGCTGGAGGAGATCCAGCAGGAAGCTTATCGCATGTTTTCCAGGTGAGAGACACTGTAAATGTGAGGTGGAGAATGTTATACACTTCATACTGTTATATTCTGTCACTAGTTGCTTGTCACTTTGTGTGTATATGTGAGAATCACTCAGTTACTTTTCAGGTTATTATCCTCCCAACATGTTCTGTCTGCCAAAAGCCTTTATCCATGAAGAATGTTTTATTAGATTGTGCTGGTTTTAACCTTGTGTGAACTTTTTTTATTATTATTCAGTTAACTCTTTTGAAGCGATTTTTAACAAAGTTAAGCCAAATACAGTTTGAGTTTTCAGCGAAAATAAATTGTAAATACCTGATAATTCGGCAATAAATATTTCTTGCCATGAAAATAGCCACAGAACCTGGCATGGCGTTAAACACGAACAAAGAAGCAAACTATTCAGGTTATTAGACATGCTCATAAAAAACATGTTGTGTTGTGCTGCAGTGACTTCAGCACCGAGCCAGAACTCATGCCAAAGACTCCGTCACAGAAAAAGACAAACCGCAAGAAGCGAGTGTCGATGGAGATCAATGAGTCTCGCAGCAAAAGACGGTAAGGGTTTTAAGTCTTTAACTTGCTTGGTACAGAAACATTTTACAGGTCTACAGCAACATCTGTTGATATTCGTGTTTTATTAGACTGAGTTATTTGTTTTGTTTAGATTTCTACAATCTAGATGGTTTTTGACAGGTATCCTGTGGTCCTGTAGGGTGTTTTGTTTTATTAATTTATTTAAATAATCTTCCTGATAAATTGTAATTTTAAACCACTATAGGTTTCCTGTGTCTGTTTGTAGTGCTGCACAATTTGGACCAAAATTGTGATTTATTCAATATCAATTTGACTATAAAAAAAACTATGTATTTATCTATGTACACTGAACAAAATTATAAACGCAACACTTTTGTTTTTGCGAACAAAATTACACTTTTGTTTTTGCCCCCATTTTTCATGAGCTGAACTCAAAGATCTAAGACTTTTTCTACTTTTTCTATAGGCCTATTTCTCTCAAATATTGTTCACAAATCTGTCTAAATCTGTGTTAGTGAGCACTTCT